GTGATGCTTTGCCTTTTGTGGGACACTAAAGGAGTAATTCATTTCAAACTCCTCAATCCACAGCAAACTGTCAATGCAGAGATCTATAGTCAGCAACTGGAACATTTAATCAAGCCCTTCATTAGAAAAACCCTTAACTCGTCAATCAGAAAGGTGTTCTTCTTCTCCACGACAATGCACATCCACATGTGGCACATTTGACGCAACACAAGATTATGGAATTGGGTTGGGAAGTTCTCCCCCACCCACCATATTCTCTAGATATGGCACCATCAGATTACCATCTTATTCATTCTTAATGGGAAAACGTATGCAAATATGGAAGGTGTTAAAGAGGACATTGACATGTTTTTTGCTTCAAAGCCAAGTGATTTCTTTAATCAGGGCATGAACAACCTGATTGCAAGATGGAAAAGCATCATCGATAAGAATGGAGACTATTTCATATAATAAATTTTTTGTTTTGATATACAAGTTGTTCGGGTTTTTCATCTAAAAAAGTGACATTGATTTCTTGATGACGTAATACCTATATTTGTTTTCATTATTTTAATACATATCTGTACAATACACTGTACATTACTGAAAGTGCTTGTCATAAATGGTTGGAAATAGTTAATAATTATAAATTACATGAAGCTTTATTGAAACCTTTAGTTGTGACTGTCAGGGTTGCAAAAAAGGGATGGACATGAAAAACCTAGCCAAACAGTTTTATGTACTTGAAGCTGAGAGATCAACTCCAAGTTTACAAACAACATTAGTGTTAATACACCATTAATCTTTCAGAAAAAGAACATTTCTTAACCTTTTATCTTCTTAAACTCCCTACACTATTTTTTGTATAGTGATTAGACACAAGTCAGGTTGATATTTATGTTACCTTATATTAACTTAATATATTTAATTATGAATTAAGACTTAACACCGCCAAAGGCCCTAAAACATGGTGATACCTTTCAGATCATTAGATCTTTCACTTTTGATTATTGTAATATTTGTTTTGGGCCTTAAAAAAGAAAAAGAGTCCAAAACCAGCACAAAAACAAAACTAACTGCAATACAACTTCTATTGCTTATTAAAGTTGAAGGTTAACTGCTATTTATTATGTAAACTTCACTAGAAACTTTCACGATTCCAAGACAATAGCAGTTTTTGCTTTCAAAGAAGTATAGGTTGTTTTTTTACTCCTATGTTTCTTTGTAATCTTTCTTTCAGTGGATATGCCATCATGGTCACATTCATATCAATTACATATATTTCAATTAAAACACCATTTTTACTTTGCAATTGCTGGTAATGAAAAAAATAGTATCTTTCAATGTTTTTTATTGTGTTCTACATTTATGTTCTGTGCTTTAATATATGAAATAGCATTGGAAAAGGAAATCAGCTTTTGACCAAAAAATATTGGATTTACAAAGATGATTTATGATGAAAAAAAAAAAAGATAAAAATTTACATCTACCCTTTGTTCAGAGAAATCATTCTCACAACAAGCTGATCAGAACAAAGTACCAGAAAAAATAATAATCATGCAAACAAATGAAGAAAAAAAGATATCAATTAAATGAGGACCCAAGAAACTGTAAAACCATAGAAACTTAATAATGATACAATCATTCTGATAAGTGGAGCACAATTATAACATGACAAGACAATAATCAAATTCATCATTCTGACAAAAGTCCAAGTTAAGAAAGAGAGACTTTCAAACACAAAAACAAGATGTAATGACTCTAAGGAAGATAATAGAAACAAGCACTTACTGTACTTATCAATAGCAGAAAAGACAAGATGGTCCTGAATTTAGTCCACAGAGATTTATTAGCCAAGATCAACTCTCAAACATACAGTTTTAGGAGAAAGAATTCATATCTTTCCTGTAAATCAAGTTCTACATTTAAAAAAAAAGAAGAAGAAGAGTCAAAGAATACTCACACAGAAGAAAATGAAATATTCAGAGGTGAAAATAAACACCTGATTGTCTAAGAATTAATCCAGAAGGAGCATATATAAAAAGAAAGCCAATGATTTAAGTTATCCAGAGATGCCTTCCAATTGGCAGCCATGTCTGAAACCTATCTCAAACAACTTCAAGATCAATATATCAAAAATAAAATGTAAAATAAACAATACAAAACTGTGTGGGAATGGCCATTTGAATTCATTTGGTCAATATTACAAATAAACAATGTGAATGCAATACAAGTACACAGGTATATGAAAAAGGAATGGGTTAATATGATGATGACTATATAAAACAAGAATGATAAGCCTCATATCTCAAAATTCATGTTTTGTGCAAGTTGTATCCATCACCATCTTCCATTACTACCATAACAATAGAAAAGTGATCACTGATCATTCATTTAAAATCAAAAGATCAATTCTTGATGTAGGCAATCAACCTAAAAAAGACCTGAGCAAATGACAGAGTCAGAGCAAGGCAAAATGGTAAAACCACAGAAACAATATTTTAGGAAATTCTGAAGGTGAAGCTTCTTTTTTAATTATCTTCAGAGTTTTACTTGTCAATACTGAAAGGTGCTCAAGGGTGTTCATTTTGCCTAATACTACCTTATATTTCCAAAAAATTAAAATTAAAGTCACCTACTCAGCACAGAATACTTTTTATGGAATTCTTGACATTTTGCATGACTTCTAACCACAGTATCTACACGAGAAAACGATGCTGTTTGTTAAGAAGTTAAACGTATACTGTGAATATAATTGACAAAACAATAAATTTTCTTCACACCCATTTCTAAAAACAAATTAATATTTCAGTAGCAATATTATTACAGTTGTGTAGTAAGCAGGCATGAAAATGCAAAAAGCTTAGGCTATCTCATGTTTCAAAATTTCAAAAACGTTATAATTTTTAATACGCAGTATACTGTAACTACAGTTTAAATAATCTACAGATATTAAGTCAATGGTCTATTTGAGAAATAGCCTACCTCAAAATATCAATAAAACAACTATAATACATAAAGTAACTCAATGATATTTGAAAGGCAGCTTAATCAGCAGTTAACTTTCATTATGTGATATCACATATATACTCAGGACCATTGTCAGCTTTAGTTTGGCCTTAATAACTATCATTCTTAGCTAAATATGGTTCATATTGAAAAACAAAAAATATTATAAAGTATGCACTATTCTATGCACATATCTGATAATAAAGCAAATACAAAATGTAAACTGTCTTGTACTAAAAATTAATTAAACACTGTTATTACAAATGTACTGGAAGTCCTCATTATATGTGTGTTCAGCATATGCAAATTTGCCCTTATGTGATCAAGCATGGGAGAACGTGTTCTGAGTCAGTCACACCGTGCCTCTCAGTGCCACAGCGTCTCGGCTGCTGCTCACCACTGGTACAAGTGGTGCATTGTGGGTATGCTTGGGTCTCCGCCATCCAAAGTAATGCATCCCTGTTGCCTCAGTCTTGCACTGTCCATTGTTCTATGCGGATCTGTGCTTCTTGTGTGCATTTTGGGAATCTGTAACTTCCATTCCTGTATATTTTACAGATATGGCTTGCAAACGTCTTGCAAGTTCATTGCCTAGCCCTAGCTCTAATCCACCAATGAAACAGAAGAGGACTGCATTGATGCTAGAATTGAAGTTGAAAATTCTAAAGTGTGTTGGAAGCTTATGAATCCCCCTCTGTGCTTGGTCACGCCTGCAACCTTGGAAAGTTAGCTATACGTGCCATTAAGAAGAATGCAGACAAAATTAATAGTTCAGTGATACATTCAACACCACTGTCAGCAAAGTATGGAATTCAGTGTTGATGAAGATTGAGAAGATACTGGGATTTTGGATTGAGGATCAAAACCAGAAGAAACTGAATCTTAGCTGCACCACTATCAGAGGTAAAGCTATCAAGTGTTAAATTTATTAACACTTGATCCAAGAAGATGGTGGAGCTGAAGAACCCTTTATGGCTAGTAAAGGCTAGTTTGCTAAGTTCATTCATCATCAGAACTTGCATAATCAGAAGGTGACAAGTGAATCTGCAAGTGCAGACCATACCCCTGCTGCCAGATATCCAGAAGAACTGAGAGCAATCATTGAAGCATAGTGGTACAGCCCTAAGATCATTTCTAATACTGATGAAACTGGGCTGTTTTGGAAGAAGATGCATTCACAAATCTACATTACTTAGGAGAAAGTAGCACCTGGTCTTAAGGCAGCGAATGATAGGCTGATGCTGCTGTTGCTATGTGGAAGTGCAATGGGTAACTTCAAGATGAAACCTTATCCTCTCAAAGGACTTAACAAGAAAATGTTGCCTGTGCACTGGACTACCATGAAAAAAGGCTTGGGTTTCTGGCCATGTGTTTGAAGAATGGTTTAGTAATCATTTTGTTGTGGAAAGTGAGCAATATTGCAGGGAGGCTAACCTTGCATTCAAGGTGGTACTTATCACTGATAATGTCCCTGGACACCCAAAACATATGGAAAGCATCAATCCTAATTTCAGAATTTTGTTCTTGCCTCTAACATTACCTCATTGCTTCAGCCCCTTGATCTGGATGACACCAATGGACCTGACAAACCAACAATTTGTGACTGGTGGAAGTCCTACAACATCAGAGATGGTATTAACAACATCAAAGCATCATGGGACAAAGTGAAATCATCTACCTGGAACTGTACATGGAAATCATTTTGGAAGTAGTGCATTAATAACTTTCAAGGGTTTCCTAAATTTTCAACAACAGTGCGAGGGTTTTTTTTGAACTTGGATGTAAGGTGGGTGGAGAAGGCTTCTCAGACCTTGAAGAATCTGACATCATGGAACTCATAGATTCCCATGATGAGGATATGAATGTTGATGATCTCATTAAAATGTCTGCTGCTAACAAAGAAAACAAGGAAGAAGATGAAGAGGTGGCTCTTGACATCAAGGACATGATAATGAAGAGGCTAGCTGACTTTCTTTCACATGCTGAAGCTCTTGCTCAGGAAGCACTTGACATGGACCCAAGCCTGGAATGGAGCCTGCAGTTTAAACACTGTCCTTGCTCCCTATAAGGAGGTTTATGCACAAAGGTAATGGGCAGCAAAGCAATCTATAATTCTGCAATTCCTAAAACCTCACTCAGCCACCCTCAGTCATGCTCCAGTTGCTTCTTCTGGTCCTTCAACCTCCACACCAAATCCAGCTGCTTCTCCTGCACCAGTCTGTGCCTTCACTTGTCTGTGCCTTCACCTCTAGATGTTACCTTGCTTGCATCTCCTACAAGTGATGTGGAATCAGACCCTGATGACCCTGTACCACTCCCTCCTCACAACATGTAGACCATCACCACCACCTAATGTAACTGAGCCTACGAGTCTTCTTTTGCTTGAGAGCATTAAATGTTTTATTTACTGTATCATAATTTTATTACTGTATTTTACTTTATTACCAGTAGGTGCTTACTGTTTGTATGTCATGAAAAAAAATGATGGAAATGGGATTGGGGTCAGTAGTGTATAGCTTGTGAAATGCATCACTATTTTTTACATATAAATCAGTATTTCTATTATGAGATTTCTCATTATACGTACTTTATTGGAATGCAACTATCACATATAACGAGAACTCCCAATATTGTATTTTTTTGTTCTCATAAAGAAACAATTAATTACCATATCAGCATCAAGAGAACCAGAATGGCTGGAGGACTGTACAAGCCTTTCCTTGGCTTTCAGAGCTCGTGCCCTTTCATTGCTTAATCTTTCATTATCCTTTAACAATGCAACTAAAAGTTTGGATTTTTCTCTAACATTCATGCCCTGGTCTTTGTTTTCTTCTATGTATTGGAAGTCCTTAAGAGTCTGAATAGAAAATATATTTTCTCTACACTGCTGGGCAACCTAAATGAAAAGGGAAATGTTTTAAATACTCATATGAACTAGATATACAATAACTGATAAGATTATTAGAAATCAGTAAAAACACAAATAAATAAGATTTTATTTTAGTTACCAGTTTAATCTAGCTATTATAACTTTGATTAAATAATTATTTTATATGAATCTTATTATCTCTAAAAAGGGTTCGAAGATGTACACATATTACTTGCAGAAGAGACAATTCAGATGTGCCTCAATTTGGCAACCTAAGCCCATGCTAGTGTTAGAGGCTAATGCTTTATTAGCCAAGTTATCAGAGCTAAGAATTCCAGCAGGCAACCTCCCTTCTTAACCATTACAGTAGTATTCCACTCAATCAAGGTTTTTCTCAAGCCACCCATAAATCAAAAAAAAAAAACAGTATTCTCATTATAACACAGTTAATCCTCCAAACAGATTCTGATAACATGCATACATAGGAACCACATGCAAACAAGAGACTAGATCACTAGATCAACAAGCTAAACATGAGATGGATTATTTATCCTCTTCCCCACTCAAATTGCTGCCAATATAATGAACTACTGTTGATAAATCTTTCCTGACCAAGGCTTGAATGTAAGACTTAGAATGATACTCAAGCATCAAGATCAGACATCTCTATCTTGACTATCATACTGAATGTCAGCATCATTGTCAGAGGTCATATGACTGGGTGAAGTGTCTTTAAACTTTAATTTTAAAGTTTTAGTTTTGTTTTTATTTTCCCACACTGCAAAATTCGAGTTGCTTTCACATTTCAGTTCAATCAGTTACCCATTTTGCGGGTGGTGACAAACAGTATCATCACATAATTGGTTTCCAAACTCTTAACATAAGCCAATTAAATCACCAAAACACTACGACACACACACACCCATATTCTCCTAATCAGCATACATTATGTAAACATAAACAAATTAGCAAGTTCAATCCAATCTCCCCACCAAGCATATGTGAATACCAATTACACGCATCAGTTGTTATTGGAAATTGTGTCAAAACAAAAAGTTAACCATATATCATATTGATAGACATAATTGGATTAACTATTATCAATGGATTAAGGAATGATGTTAATGGTGATTGGAAAATGTGTTATGTGCCTATTTTCAGCACACAGACTGGATTGTCATGTGAGGTAATAGTTAATTATGCAAAATATGTAACATATAGCTGTATCACTTAAAATTTCCTTTACTCATTAATATACAGATATAACTACATTTTAAGCATCAATCAAATCAAACACACACACACACACACATATATATATATATATATAATGCTGCCCATAATGGTATCTTTATTTCCTCAGTATATCTCTAGCAAACTGGTTAGGAGTAAGACCTTCAGTCAAATTCTGGCAAGAAATGAAAAGCTAGTGAAAAATTAAAGAACATAAAACCAAAATAGTTTCTTAAAATTTTGAATTAGAATGATTTCAGTTGACATGTGCAAGATACCAAGAGATTTTGGCACTATTTTATAAATTAAAAAGTAATGAACTTGGAAAACAGCTTTATATTACATTGAAAGAATAATTATTTTATTGATTCAAATTTCATAAAAATAAATAAAGGTTTTTCTTAGATACTGAATAAAAAAGGTTTTAAATTAAAGAATATTGACAAAGACATTCAAGCTAACATATATATATATACACATACATATTGTTTAATGATGGAAATGTTGTTTATTTAGGTGTAAATTATTTCCATTATTAAACAGTATTTTCACAATGTGAATGCATTTAACACATAAATGTGAAGTCTCTCTATTGCAAAAACTTCTTGTTTTGGAAATCTGGCTTGACTCCTGCATTGTTACAGTTGACAGTGTTGTAGGGTTTGCAGTTTCTACTGTACATGTACTTTAAGCTATAGTATGCATCTTGTAATATTCAAACATATTTCAACTGAACTTTCTGAATAAATTTATACAAACCTCACAGTGGACCATTACAAAAATATACAGAATTATTTTTAAAGTTCCTTATCTTAAAATATATAAAGCAAACTGTGTCACAAGCCAACATTATAATATATATATAGATACATACATATACACACACGTTATTTATATTTGACCAGTAATAAAGGAAACTTCTATACCCATCTGTAAAATTGCAACGAAGAAATTCATTACTTTACATTTTACCATGCAAGTTCTGACAATGATGATAATGAAGTCTGAATTATTTCCCCATAGAAAAAATGTTGTAAAATCATATTATCATGGCTCTGTATTGAATGATTATGGTAATATCATGAATACAATATAAACAATTTTGTGACAACATGTTTGGTTAAAAATATAGGTTTATGTTCAAATTTATAGGTTTTAACAGGTTTTTCATTTGGCCTATTTTGAACAAAAATAAAGGATGACAATCAAATTAAAGGCATTTATAGGTTTTGCTGGGAGGCCTGCCTGATGGATATTTTATGCTTCTATTAATTATGAAATTAGGTTATATAAAATAAGCAATTTATGATTAAAATTTCTTACCTTTAAATAGACAGAAACCTAAAATTTGCAAGCTACAAATGGTGGGGATTCATGAAATGTAGGATTTGAAAATAATGCTAGCAAACTAGTAAATTGCTGGTTAGTGTTGTACTTTTTTTTAGTAAAACTTTCAAGGAATTAAAAAAGGACTAACTAGTACATAACAGGCTATGGGCAACAACCTGAATAACCCAATTACTGAATGAAAATGGAGACCAAAGGCTGGTGTAGATAGACAAATGGGCCTCAACAGGGTAGTCACCAATGAGAAGAGCAATAATCCAGACATTGGGAAGTGGGAGCACAGGAAGTAGAAGAAAGCCGGAAGTTGAGATGAGAAGCGGGAGACATGGATTCAGTAGGCCTAGAAAGAGAATGGCAAAGTTGAAAAAGACAACAAACCATAGTAGACAATGAGGACTGATGCTGGACCACCTGTGTCTGGGTCTCCAATGAGAGGGGAACACCCCTTAAGACCTCTGGTCAAAGTAATGGAGCCCAATGAAAAACAGAGAGAAGCAGGAGGGAGATGTACATTAGCTAGGAAAACATCCTATTCCGAAAAGCTCCAACAGCAGAAGATTTGTTTGTATGTTTGTTTTGAATTTCACACAAAGCTACATGAGGGCTATCTGTGCTAACCATCCTTAATTTAGCAATGAAAGACTAGAGGGAAGGCAGCTAGTCATCACCACCCATCGCCAACTCTTGGGTTACTCTTTTACCAAAGAATAATGGGATTGACCTTCACATTATAACGTACTCACGGCTGAAAGGGCGAGCATGTTTGGTGTAACGGAAATTGGAACCCGAGACCCTCAGATTGCGAGTCGAGCACCTTAAGCACCTGGCCATGCCGGGCCTTATTCTCTACACAACTTTTTTTAATATAGCTCCACATGAACCCCACTGATGCTTCTGTGTTCATTTAAATTTTTTTGTCTGTGATTGTATGAAAAAAGCCTCTAGGATTCTCTTTATTTCTAAAAGATCCAAACCAACAAAATTGAAATGAAGATAGTCATATCAAAATTTTCAAATACCATAATAAGATCTTATTCAGACTGTAATCTTTTGAAATCACTCTAGGATTATATGAATGTTCAAGATCTCGATGAATCAATATATAAAAATACATCTATTAGACTATATATAATTTTATTTGTTTACATATTACAAAATTCAGAAGAAAAGATAAAAATCCTTCAGTATTACCTACTGAAGGATCCCAAATACTTTACTTTTTTGTACCAAATAATCTTGGCTTAAACTTACATCATTTTACAAAATCCTGCAGGATATGCATTTACCTCCTATGCAATGTTGTACAAGACAGTTTTCTGTTCTGAGAGTGCTAAGATATTCTTTTATATAATAGTTTCAACAATATTTGAAAAGAAATAGTTTCATTTTGAGTTTACTTACTGATAAGTATATATATATATATATATATATATATATATTACTAGTTACATCTTTTACAGTAAGTAAGACTTATTTTGTCTGTTTCAAAAATAAATCTCACTTACTGTAAAAGCTATAACCTGTAAAAACAACATTTGAAAACAAAGCCTGAAAAAAAACTGATTGCTTTAGAAAAAGGGTGATTTTTCTAACACAAATGGGGCCACCTTCTGAGAAATGCTAGCACCTTTGAATTGCTTTTTCAATTGCTGGAATTTCTTACTTTTTCTTTTTATACAATGTTTTAAACTACCTTACACAAAAATTTTGTCATATGTAGTTTTCTATCAGTTATTAAGCAACAAAAGAGTTTTCAGTTTGACATAAAATATATATATATATACATTTTATATAAACATGTGTGTGTGTGTCTATTTTTTTTACCTGGATAGTTTCATAACACTTAATATACATGTACTAAAAATTACCATGAAAAATAAACAACATATTTGTGGAACATGTAAAGTTCATACCTTTTCTGAACCTGTTTTAATAAGATATTCTAGAAGAACTAGGGCTTTATACACGTGCCTCCAGTTTTTCCCATGATCATTGAGACGTTTCCAGACCATCTTCATGATTTCTGAAAAAGCAACTACATTGTAGGTCAAGTCTGCTATTTCACTCATAAGAGTGCTGGAAGGCCCCCATGGATCATTAGATGTGGCTTCTCGCACTTTCACTTCAGCATCAGTGTAGTTTCGAACAGCATTTTTAACATTACGACGAATACCTTGTACATTGATCATTTTCACTTGCAACAAAACCGACCAGTATACAGTTCAAATTATCTGCTACACAGCATTCCACAAAAAAATTTTCTAAATAGGTAGTTTTGTGAATTGAGCTTCCTAATCACTTCTCATATCTGTAAAAAAAAAATTAATGTAAACTTATGCTCTCTCTATAATAGAACAAAAAAATTTCAAACTTCAATCTATTTTTAATAGAATGAAATTCAACATTTTAATTTAAATCAGAACGCATCTTGTGTATCTACAAATTTTCTTTTGTGCAGAGAAAACATTACAATTCTTTCATATGTAAAATATCAAATTAAGTCTTAAGGTTTGTTAAGCAATGTTTTTCTCATGCCTTTTTTTTTTTCGCATGTTGCCTATCCGATATGCAAAGTAATTTTCATTTTAAGATTAAAAATACTTTTATGCATCAGAAAATTTTCAAATTTCACACGTGAAATCTTTATAATGTCCAGATAATTATCAAATGTTTCTTAAGAAAAAAAATTTATATTTTATCTGTTATTTTCACTAACGATTCTCTGTACAGGTGTGGTAGATTTGACTGATCTTGTAACCACCATAAAAATTAGGAAATAAATATGGATTATACCTCTTTTGTTCTAGAATGACAACAAATTATAACTGTTTAGACTAAATAGCTAAAATATCATAACATTATACAATTATATATATATATATATTTATTTATTATTTTTATTATATTGACCTTTCAGCCATGCCTGGCTAACAATACAGAAGTTACAATGACGCAGCACATGTGTTCTCATGTTACCGTATCCAATAATATAAAACTGACATTTCAATTATTATACATTATATATGTATATAAGTTATTACTATTTAGAAACAAGTTCTTAAACTTATTTTTTTTAAAACATAGAACAGTAAATAAAGAAGTAAAGCAAACAATTATCTCTTCTAGTTATGACATTTGTACTTGGTTACTGCTTGATGTTGGTTGCTAAGCCTTTTAATATTTCACACATGGAGGATATAAAACAAATATTTTTTTAGGTTTTATATGTACATTACAATAACTAAAAAAATAAAATTACTACATCAATACCTCAATAGACTTCAACTATAATTTAACAAGCTTAGTAACTAACTCTAAAAAAATATGAAATTTCGAGCAGACTAAAGACACAACCTACCTCCTTAAAATCTTGGTTCAAAAGAAAGAAATGGCATACTAACACATGAAAATGGCTGAGAAAGCCACTATGGGGTCATTCTGACCTTTTGAATGGTTAATCACATATCATATATTGAATTAAGTGTATATAAGGGACCGTTCCCAAAAATGGAAAGAGGTGAGTGGGGCCACTGTGTCTGATTCATTACACGAATGATATAACAACTTCAGAGATTTGCTCAGTTGATAAAACTAGTTTTATATGACCATGTGAGTCTTTTTTTAACAAGCCAATCTTTATACATATATTTCTAATTATCTTCACTTATTTAAGATTCCATTTTCCTACTGAATCACTTAATTGTGATTATTGTAGTATCAAAGCTCTTCTTAAAGTCTACAAAATGCATTATGTTACCTTTCTAATGAAATTTTTTTTCCTGAAGTTTTTTTAAAGTGAAAAATTTCTACCTTCACCAGTTTTATTAAAAATAACCAGCTGTTCAGCAAGAAAGCTTCTTTTTAATTCTTTCACTAGCACTGGAACATAAATGCCCCCTCTAAAGTATTACTATGGGCAATAAAAAAAAATTTACTCCCCCACTGTTTATCTAAAAACAAACCTTGCAAGTTCATATACAATGCAAGTATCAATAATATCAGCAAAGTCACTTAATGTATGCAGTACTAGTAAACTGGTGAAAATCGAGTTGAGTATGGTATACTAAAATGATTTTGGAGCCTCACAACATCATTATGGTACATGTCGCCATGTCAAGTCATACTATCTGATGACTGTGTATCTTGACAATAGCTATGCAGCATAGTTTCCATTACAAAATTCTTCATCGTAAAGCTGTCATGTCTAAAGCACACCCCTTCTTCATTCATGCCTTCCATAAGCCATCTATTTTATGAAAACGATTATTATCTCATACATGTTTCAACAGTCCAATCACACAGAAATACATAACCACTGTGACTAGCAACTTGAACATTTCGTTCTCCAGTTGTTTGAGGTATGCAACAGTTTAACAAATATGTCATAGAAGCAATTCTTGTACACAATTTTTGTTTTTCCAGATGGGGTCCTTCTGGATTATGTTTTGTGTTGTTGCATGGGCTGGACCTTGTGGACAGTTTTTGCCAATGACATTTGTGTTTATGGATTCTCAATTGTACATAATGCCTCACGTTACTTCCCATTGCTGGGGTATGACTTTTTGCAGGTATCTTTCTGGATGGTCTTTTCTCAGGTTGATCCATATTCCTTTACAACCAATGTTCTAATAATATATATCAGAAAAGGTGTTACAAACTCTTCCCAGTAGCAATACATTTTTGATGGCATCACACTAGCCACAAAAAGCTAAACAATGTCAAAATAAAATTCTGATACATACCATTCTACTAAGTACTATGACTTACGATGACTGTGGTTGTCACACAATTTTCTGTTTTGCCTATTCAAAATATTTTAATATAACGTACTCAACCCACTGTATAATAAAAGTAGCTTAATAAAAACTGAATTATAATATGTACACGATGGTAGAGTATATACCTATTTTCACCATATATTAATTATTACTATCACTCATACTTAAAGCCTATAAGTACAACTAAGCCTAATTTAAGTTTAACTGAAGTTTAATAATTATTAATATATGTATTCACATATTTTCCATGTTCAATTATCAACCTACCTTCAAACAAAATAACAATATCGAGATTTTGAAAAGTTGTACTAATTCTTTTGTACTTGTAGATTAAAATGTATTAATATTAAGTTCAACTAAACTTTAATTATTTTACTCTACACTTATAACCATTCAGTTTCATCCAATTCACTCACCTGTTGCAAATGTTCTAAACAGAGTTGCCAAATGCTACTCTGACCATCCCTCTAGTGGTGAGCTAATTTCCCCCGTTTGTAAAATACCCATACCAGAGAAGGGGAGTTGCATATATATTTTTGAATATCCTGCTTTGCGGTTGATAATTTCTTAAATTCTACAATCAGTCATATTTAACTGATGAAATACTAAAAAATATTAACTAAAGTAACTAAAACACATGTTTCTTACATGTTATGCATCTATCCTAGGAATGGCACATCAGGCAATTCAGCAACCCTTTAATAAAATTAGTTTTACTTATGCCAGTTCTAGAATAGGAATAAAAATTACAGTGACTGATGTGACCATATTACTCTACATCAGTTTTCTGGGTATAAACTATAAACTTGAAATGATTGCAGTTTGGGTGAGTAATAAATGAATAGAGGTATAAATATGTCTGCACATCATATAAACCTTGGGAAGGCATAGATAACATTTACATTGTATCTATTGCCAATTAGTTTCGATCGGATAAACTTAATTTTTGAGAATAATAAATAAATAAGTCAACTGGCATATCCTTATTCACTTTTTGTTTCAGTATGAATTTATTTTATATTAAAAATAATACTAATACATAACGTGGTAAGGATTTTTATAAAATTATTTTTTGTGAATATTAAGTATTGTCTACTATATTCATTAAACTAATAATATGTTTAGTTTAGGAATGTGGAGGGGTAAAGTGTAAGGAGAGACTTAATGGCAAATCGGGGTGGCTAGCTAAGAGCCTATCACTGTTAGTGTTAGAAGGCAGACTTGATATTTTAAAAGGTCATGAGAACACTAAGGGAAATTTCAGAAAAGGTAATTTAAAATCAAATTAAATCCCTCTCCTATTTTTAGTGTTAGCTTCCTATTTATTTTCCTCTCTCCCACACTTGTTTCCTCAATGCAAAATTTCATCTATTTCCCTTACAAATGGGGTTACCCTTAGTCTAACTGGCAACCATGGTTACCTAAAGCAAACAAACCTATGAATGTTTCAGATTGAATGCTTCAAAACTTAAAGAATCAGTGTTTAATGATGCAAATGGTCTTTTTTGTTGTTCATTTGGAGGTTTTGTATTCTATATATAAATACAAGCATAAAAAATTAAAATTTACCCAATGAAAATTAAAATAACACAAGGCCAGGATGTAAATAAAATCACTGACTTGTGATGCTGTCTGACGGTAGCTCAAAGTAGGGTATAATGGTCAGTATTTTTCAGGGAAGGAACATAAAAGAATTATGTGTTTGAGAGACAGTAAGATTTCTGTGTATACAAATCAGAGGTATTCTGGGGCGGGTTATTTTTTTGTTTACAGTAAAAAGAAAAGAAAAAGACAATGTCTCAAGCGAAAAAAATACAAATTCAACATTACCTTCCATATTATCAACACCCAAACATAAAATGGACTATTTGCAACAAAAATATAATTTTATGCGGTATTTGACTCTTTGACTTAACTCGCAACATAATAAAGTGAAAATTTCATAGCTGCCGATAATTATCTCTGTCAGGAACTTACTTTTTATATTATATATAGTAAGTTAAAATATATTGGTGTGTTGGGCTAAGGTTTGTTTGTTTAAAGTTAAAGCACAAAGCTACACAATGGGCTATCTGTG